TGCTAATTGCTAATTTTACTAAGGCTGAGAAGGAAAAGCCATAGCACCTGAGTGATTCAAGAGCCACAAAAACTGCCCTACTGCAATATCACAAAAACTGTATTTTAGCCTCTGACAAAGGCTCCCAATTTTGTAAAGCCTTACATACATTAATAAGCCTAAGTATTTGTGAGTCTCTGTAGCCTAATTATTAACATTTACAATTAATGCAAATGTCATTCACTATGGTTGCACCTACATTACCTGCTTAGCTATCTGCCACAAAGTGTGGGGATCCTAAGGGATCTCTCCTAAGAGATCCCCGCTCTCACTGGGCCTGGGTTTTCCTTGCAGAGACTAACGTGCACTAGTTTCATATAGCATTCTAATTTTTTCAGGGAAAACCTGTCCCTAGGCTTGGGAACCCAGAAATGTTGCTACATTCTATGATATGCTATATGTAAGGACAGAAAACCCCACCAAATGCTCCACAAGCCCACGCAGAAAGACGGACTCTCAAAAGCACTTTCCATTGGAGGCCAGCAAAGAGAACAAAAACATTTTTTCTTTATTGTTTCACAAGGGACAAATACTATTGACAAAGGAATAGCCAATAACAGTAGCAGCAGCAGACAATACTTTCTGGGATTAAAGTGTAAAGAAATATTTGCAGGAAACTGCACATTGATTCTGACTCTGCAAGCCTCAAAGATTTTTCCTGGTTGTGAGTCCAAGCTTCCACGTCCACCCCACCAAAGCTGATGGAAATGGACAGTGCTGGCTATTCAAAAAGTTCTTGTTTTCAGAGGAAAAAGATGAGGAGAAACGTTTATATCAACACAATCACTCCTTTGGCTCTTTCACCCTCGTTCTCCCAGTCCTGGCTATTAAATAGATTGCTCTATCTAGAAAGTTCTTCATACAAATTCCTTACCTATACACTACTGCTGGCTGTTTGATGATGCTGTCGCCTTCCCAATGCCACAATGTTTTTTCAAAAAAAATGCAGGTATTTTTTTTCTGATGACATTCTATTTAACAAAAAAACATCAAACCTCCAACTTCAGATACAGCAAAAAACCATCATCCTGTGACCAAAAACCGCAGAATGCCTGAGGTAGGAAAATACTATTTATTCTTGTAATGGATTTTATGAACAAATCAAATGAGGTGAGATGTTTCTGAAAATTTGATCATTCATCACCAAAGCCTTTTCCCATCTTGTACTCATCATTTCTACTACCTGCCACCGCTGGAAATATGTCCTGCTCATAGAAATAGATATAACACGCACACACTCACTTACTCATGTGTACACACTCCAAGCAAGTGCCTGGCCTTCCTTGGAGAGCAACAGATTTATATAGATGCAAGGAACATTTAATCAGTCATTTTTATTTGCTTTTCTTTTAACAAAAAACTACTGCAGCTATGGAATGTGAACTTTTGCCTACTTCTTAAACATCAAACTTAACCATTCTCCCGTCTTTTTTCCTCCATCTCAGAAATAGTCTTAATAAAGCTGCAGAGGACATGCATCATGTTTCTCATGTTTGATTTTTGTCTGTCAGAATGGCAACAATTTTAGTGTTACAGAGATATAAAAAATCCCAAACACTTGAGTCAGCTTATAATTTAGCTATCTCCATGCATTTTTTTGTTTTCTGAGGCTTTAGGAAAGAAGATTCTGTGATCACAAAAAAAAAAAAGAAAAGTAATTTTAATTCTGTTACAGTTTTGCACATGTGTATACATGTTTTTATATGTGTGTTTTAATGTCAGAAAATACCATTAAAAAGTCTTGGGTATTGTGGGAATAAATTTTCAGCATTCTTGCTCATTTAAGGGCAGCCAAAAAAAGTGTATTCACAGAAGCTTGGCAGCAATCCCTCACAGAGACAAATAAGTACATTATAAGACAGTGCTGTTCCCATTCCACTGTGCAGCAATGTAGAATTTCACACTCTGTTCACATTGTAGAAGACTGAATAAAATTTATCAATGCTCAAAAGGTTCATTAAAAAAAAAAGAGCAAAACCCAATCCTTGCAGCGTGAGCACTCGAGGTTATCAGCTGCTGGTGTGGGGAGGTGCTGTGGTGGACTCAAAGAATGGAGCACAGCTCTGCTGGGCTGTGCCATTACAGGCTCCTCATCCAGCAATGTGGTCATTCCTGGAGTCACTCCATGGCTTGCTCTTGGGAACTTTCCCTCCATTTCTAGGACTAAAGGCATATACTTCTCTGCCACTTGTGGCTCTTGGGAATAAAAAAAAAAATAAAAAAATAAAAAGGTGTAGAATTTCTCTCATTTACTTTTCACTACCCGGGTGGCCAGTGATCAAACATGACTGTTGATAGAAATGGTTTTTGGCTATCTACCATCCCTGATTTTTAAGCTGAATAGAAGCAATATTGCAACAAGAAACAATTTCGAAACAACTTACTTAAAATATCACAAATCTCCAGCTCCAAGATTACTGCCACAAAATAAAACCACTGAGGTTATTTTTTCTCTTGTCTTACCCCAACATCCTCTTTTTCTCCTTGCTCTGGAAAATGCTTTTCCTGCATCTTTCATTCTTCCTTCCCTCTTAGGAGCTGTTTTATCTCCCTGGTGCACACAAATTTCCTTCTTAATATCATCAAACAGATTTTATCTGTCTGCCTCACAACAGTCTTAAAAGATACTTTCTCAGACATCAGTCTCCCTGGCTAGATCCTCTTCAGCTATCCTGCACCTCCAGAGACTCTCTGGACTTTGTGGCTCTTATAAGATGTATTGAAACCAACTGCATCTTCCTGGCTCCCTCAGAGAAGACCTGCAGCTTGTGGGGTAGTGAAGAAGCTGAGCTGCAAAATTTGGGAGGCAGAGGATCCCAAAGGAATACCAAGGAACATCTATTCAACAACATTCTTCATATCATACTTCATACTTAATAACATCAGCTTTGCTGGAAGTCACCCTAAGTCTTCACCATATTTCCAACTTTAATTTTTATGTTGTTGAGACACACGAACATCTAAACAGAGAAAGCATTCAGGTTGGATTCTAAAAATGGTCAAATATTTGTAGTCATGTGGCACTACAAGATAGCACAAGTGTGAAATTTTTTTCAATAAATGGAGTGTATTAAAACAAATTTAAAAAAGAAAAAAAAAGTTAGAGGAAGCCCTTAGGGTGACCATTACAATTCACTTTAAAATCTAAAAGGTGTTGATGGTAATGGCTAGCTTGTTCCTAATGCATTGGGAAATAACAAAAATAATATATATAGAATTTATGAATTATGATAGTTTTAAGAAAATGGGCCATTTTTCCATTTCAATTTTAGTAAGTGATTTGTTAGGGAAAATACTTCTCTCACTGCCCTCATATGGTAACAATATCAGAAGGGCTGATCTGTTCAGGCACTATTGAAGGAGTAGTTTCTGAAGTAGTTTCACAAACACACTCAAATACTACCAGAGACGAAATTTCTAAAATGAATGTGTTTTTTTTCTTCTAGTGTTAGTACAAGATGGAGAGACAGGCTTGAAAAGCCAGTTTGAATCCCCTGTGTGCCATGTTGAGATGAAGACCAGACACACTGCATTCAGAGCTTAGACCAAAGGGGCTTCCTCTTCTTTTGTCTTCTAGTTTTTGTTTCATCTGGGTCAGATAGTCTGTGAACAGCCATACAGGTTGGGAAGTTGTTGTCAATCTACTGAAGTTGGTGTAGCTTGGGTAATGTATTAGTATCACCGTGTATTGTTCTGGAAACCAGAGAGAATCTCTTCAGGACTACCTTTCTTTAAGTGAAGTCATGATGGTTGTTGGATTGAGCTTGGAGAATCACTGCTCTCATGGCAAATTTCTCTTCAGTAGCAGCTGCTGCTTTAAAGGAATTTGCTGACAAGAGAGGTCCCATTCAGACTAGTAAAAGGATGACCAGGACCCTCCTGGGGGAGTAAGATCAACAGGTAGAGAACAGCCTGCATCCATGAAATTTAATTCCCTACCTTTTCAAATTGCATCCAAGCTGCTTTTTTATGTAGGAGTGCCATTAGCAATGCTTTTTTCCCAGTACAAACCTCATTGTCTAAAGCACTTCTTCCTATTGGCACCACAACCAAAAGACCAGTGACAGGCAGCCTCGATGATGTGCAGAAAAAATATTCTTACCTACTCAGAAGGACTGAGGGGAAAAGCAGCACTACAACAAAAGCTCCTCAGAAGAATGCAAGACTAGTGTGTGTGCAAGAAAGCTCTGGGAATGGCCAGCAGGCTCAAGGGCATCCTTGTGATGGCATAATTATTTTTTTCCTAGTCATCACAAAACACAACACTAAAGTGCAGTTCCACAGTTCTAAGGTAAGTACTGGTGTGTTGTTCTTGCTGGTTTTCAGTGGGAAACTCTCATGAGCATCAACATAGACATGGTGTTGCATAAAAAGTTTATCCTCTGACTGTCCCATGTTTTCTGCAAATATGGCATCATTCCTGCAGCTTTCACCATTGTGGAATCACAGGAGACAGAGCTGGAAAACACCTTGAGATGTCCCACGGTAGGACAAGCTGTATCTCAATGCCATTTCTAATGGCTCCTTGTCTCCCCTGCTCTCAAAAACACCTTACCAAGGAGAACAGCTCCCCAGCTCCACAGATATTCTTTTGTCCAGTTCCTCACTATTCTCATATTTTCTCTTGCTTTCTCTCCCAGGTCCTTCTCTCTGCAGCTTATGACCACTGGTTCTTGCTTTGCCTGCTACAGATGTAGAGAAAAGATAATTCCCCTCTCTTTCCACTCAAAAACTATTGTCCTGTCCCATTTCCTCCATCAGTCTGCTCTCCCTTAGAGTAAATAACCCAAATCTCTGCCTTTTTTCTTCTTAGGCTATGTATTTAGATCACGTTTTTGAATAACTTAATCTTCTCTTCATTCTCTCCAAGTGATCAATGGCTTTCGTGAAGCACAGTGCCAGACGCTGGACATTAAATAGCTTTAGCAGTGGAAGCATAATTTCAGGACTTTGCTGCTTACATGTCACAGGGTGGGCTTTCTCCTCCTCACAGCAGGCTGACATTGTTCACATCTGCTTGGCTTGGCAACATTGCTCTGAGATCTTTCCTGGAAGAAATCAACAGTTTCTTACCCCTTATTTAATTAATGATTTTTTATTGTCCCCTACCTTGCACCAGGAACTGTGGAATTTCATCTTATATTTAGGAAAAAGCTTCAGTTTTTCAGAATTGCTTATAATTCTAACTCTTTCTCTATTGTGCTTGCAGACTTTCTCAGATTTGTTTTAGCTTCAGGCTTGCTAAGCCTCCCAAGATCCAGGTCATTAAAGAGAGCATTGGATGAAAGTGGATGGAGAACAGGCACTTGTGCACTATTCACAAGGCAAGATTTCTAAAAAGATGGCACTTTATCACAGTTCCATAATACATATTTTGACATTCCTTTCCCCCTTTTGCTATCAACCACCACTCTTCTGGGCTGTGACTTTCAAATTTCCTCCTACACAAAGGCTTTAATAAGATCCTAGAAAACATTTTCTAATTGGTAACTCTGAACTTCAGCCAGGAATATAAATCTGAGATCTTTAAATTATCTTAATTGATATCTGTGGAGACTCACACTTACTACTGGACATTTTATATCTCTTGCAACCAAAAAAAAAAGGTTTGAAAATCCTGTGGCCTTCTTTCTGATATTCTGCATCCCCTCACTGAAAGTAAATTTTGTACACATTTTGGCTTAACAGTGTATTGTTTATCTTTTATTTTTTTGACTGGCACAAACTTGCTTTTTGTGTGTCTGTGCTGCATTTCTAACAGCCTGAGTCTATTTGATGTGGCAGATCTGTGTGTTAAAGGTCTGTGACACACAGGTAGCACATTCCTTGTTTTGAGCACCGCTGTGAGTCAGAAACTCTTTAGTTTCAACCCTGATTTTGCTATAAAGGCAGCTGCACACATCTAGGAAGATATTTTACCTCCCTACCTTGTTTTAGTACCAGCCAGTGCTAAAACAACCCAGCAGACAACACTGTCTTCCTTGCTTTCAGTGAAAGTCCAGAATTAATACCCGCAGTGAATTGCACCCAGCTAAATGCACTTAGCGACAATTATTCTTTCAGGTTTTCTTTCAGTGCATATTTACAAACAACATCTTGGAAACAGGCTACCAGATCTTCAGCTGGTGTAACCATGCAGCTCCACAGATGGCCAGGAGAACTGTTCACGAAGGCATTATGTTATCGAACTCTATTATGTTATCGGGTTCTGTAAATCCTATTTGACAAGATCTGCTATAAAACCAGTTTCTGCACCCCTGAGCTTTATTGCAAAACACCTGCATTTATACTTCTTTCTTGTGCTGAGGGCAAAATATTTTAGAAGCTGAATCTTTTAATGGAATTGATGTATCAAGAAGAGCAGGTGGATTTCTTGAAAAAAAAATTAAAAAGCAAACAAAGGGAAAGAAAAGCAAAGGAAGGAAAATATAGCTTCACTAAAATAGCTTTTCTGTAACAGAAGACTAAAGAAATACTATTAGAAATCAAACACAGGAAGATTAGGAGTTACAGAAACTGGAGGCAAAGAGAATTAGAAGTAAAAGAATCAGAGCAGGAATACAATCACAAAGGTCAATTGATAAAATATGTAGCAAGTGCTGAACCAACACCGATCAATACCGCTCAGTATGAACTGAATCACAGCCTAATAACCACATCACATCCACTTCATGGCACTATCTATCACAGCACAGCAGGAGGCACTGTCCAGTCCACTTTCTTCACACTCACATGGACTGGCCCTGCCAAGGGGTCCAGAAGAGCGAGATGGAATGTATTTCACCCTTGGTGCTTTGCCTCCAGTACTGAAAGGTGCCTAAAAAATGCAACACCGCAGACCTCCCCAAAGCAAGATGGAGCTAGGAAGAGCACTGCTGAATTCAATGCCTGCCACATCTTCCAGCCAGGAGGCAGTCCACAGAAGGGAGCATCATGGTGAAGTTTCCTCCTGTGTGCACACAGGTGTGCACCCTGCTCATCATCCCAGGAAGAGAAAAGCAGGCATAGCCTCACCTGCTTTGCCCTCTGAGTCAATCCCAGGGTTCCTTTGCAGGCTCCATCTCCTGAACAACAAGCAGGTGAGCAGGGAAATCCCTATACCCAGCAAGATTTGGTCACAGTGATTCCATCTCCAGGTCAGCTCTGGAGTAAAACCTCTGCCTTCTCCATATAGGAGGATGAACTCACATAGAAAATAAGTAGAGATTGAATTGAGAAGAGGCTTAATATCAAATGGTGAGGTCAAAGTCAAGTCTTTTTACACCATATTATGGAAAAATTTTGGCCCTTTTCAAATCAGTAAAAGTCTCCAAAGTGTTTCAAAAGACCCGAAAATTCATCATGAGCCTTGATCTAATGCTTAAGATGTTTGACCTGCATCTTTGCCAAAATGCAGGTGGATCTCATGCAAGATTTTTACAAGGAGAGATAATAAGCAGTATATGCTTCATGAAGATGCTGCACTATTGCTTGAATATGACAGCATGTTTGGGATAGGTTGCAGTTACTACTGTGTGCCCAAAAGGGAGTGCTGAAAGAAAAAGATTAAAAAAACCCAGCTTTTTCTCCAGTTACCCTTATTCCAGAGAAGTACTGGATATTTAATGGTTTCTTATCTATACAAAGCCACAGAAAAGCACCTCTCCATCCTATACCCTGCCCTGAGCCTGGAGGCTCCTTAGGCTAGCGCCATCCCAACATGCTGGTGCCTGTTGCTGGCGGGAGGGCTGGGACTGGCACTGCAGCTGCTGCCACTCTCTGCCCTGCCCGAGCAGAGCTTGGGGCAGCACAGCCAGGCAAGGCACGGGGCCCCTGGCACGGATCCGGAGCGAGCTTCGCGCTCCAACACCTGTGGATCCGCTGGAGATGACTGCAGCCCCTCGGGCAGCTCGCCTGCCAATGCAGCACACACAGATGCTATCAAAGCAGTAGCCCTGTGAAAGACTGGGAGCTGATTTCCTTGGTTTTCTCCACAGCTCTTTCCTGTCTTTCATCTGGTCCCGTGCCTGGGACAACACCTTTTCTTAAAGCTTGTGTTCTCCTCCTGCTTGTTTTGATTTTACATTTTGAAGAGGTTAATCACCACTGTCTGACAGATATACCAAATTCAAGGTTCTAAAAAGTCTTCAGGTTAATTCCTTTCTAAGAAAACTAAATGTATATAACAAATCCACATTGGGATGAACAAGCCTCATGTTTCAAAACATTTCATGTCACCAAAAACATCTTTCACAATCTTAACTGGTTGAAGCATGACCAAGCAGCAAAGTAGGCTTACAGCTCTCCCAGACTATTATAGTCCTTCTTCATAGCATAACTAAACTTTCAAAAAAAATACTCTACCATCATTTTTCTTTTTCATTCTCAGTAGTAATGTGTTATATAAGTTAGAGGATACATTTTAAGATTACATTGCATTGCTTATATAAATATAGATATATATTAATATTATATACACTCATATAACATATATACCAGGATCTCACAAATATTAAGAAATAAATCTTACCACATATGTTTACAGAGCTGTTTGCAAGATTGAGCTGTTTGCAAGATTTTGGAGTCTAATTAACTGAATGTTCTCCCCAAATGAGAAAATTAAAAATCACAGGGAGATTGAGAAGTGGCACAGGAGTGGAATTGTCTCAGGAAATTAATCAAAATGTGCATAACCAATTATTTGACAGATATTATTTCTAATTATAGCCAGATATCACAGCTGACAGAGAAGGTAAGGTAGCTTTTTACATAACAGCAGAGCACAGGACATCTGTCACCAAAATCTATTCTACAGCTAATTCTCTTAGTATCTCACTTAAGGCTGTCTCTGATCAAAATCATAGATAAATAACTCTGTACATTTCCTATTCTGTGGCTTTGTAAGCAAATTAAGTCTTCAAGCTGCTAAGTCTGGAAAATACTGTCCTGTGTGCTCACCTATCTGCCCACTATGGGAGAAATTCATGGAGAAATCCAGCTGAGACTGGTATCTTGACCCATGCCCAGCTTGTGTTTGCAATATGCTTTTGTCCCTACATTATCCCATGCCATTTGAAAACACCAAAAAAACCCCTTTGCTGAGTTTCTAACATTCATTATTTCATCATTTTATGTGCTGCTAATCTTCAGGGCTGAGGATGACTTTGTTTTGTTTCATAGTCATAAAACAAACTCAGTCCACTGGGGTTAATTCATCACCAGCAATGCTGGCAAGAGTTTTATGCAGCTCCAAATACTGCCAATGTACAGTTCAAACACACATATATCTGTGTTCACACATGCCCACACACACGTAAAGGTGTGTGTATATAAAATTATGGGTACATATACACACGGAAACAAATGCAGTTTCATCATGTTTTCCTTTAAAAATAATTTTAGCCAGTGGCATTGCAAAATCTGCCTGGCCTATAACCAGGAGCCTGCACCTGCACAGATCCCAGTTGCAGAACCCATCCTGTAATTGTTAAGCAATTTGCCTGTTAAGCACTGCTGGCAAGAGTCTGGCAGATCTTACGCTCAAAAGAACCAGTATTTGTTTGGCTCATATGTTACTAAGACACTGCACTATTCCTCAGACCATCTAGAAAGCTGCTGTTGTCATACTGGTAAGAGGTTTTGCTTTTCCCTTTAAATTAATGAAACATTCCTTTACTTGCAAGGAGCACAGCTCAGAAGTACCAAATCTTTCTTAAAATGATGTTTCTATCCTAGACATTATTCCTATATTTGGAGACGTAGGAAGGAGCAGGGCTCATCATTCCCTGCACCCACTCCTACTCTTTAAAAGAGGAGCTGGCTCTGGAAAAGGAGGTTCAGGCTCTTTCCCTTGGAGAAAACAATTACTTTCTCTTCCTCCTTCACTTCACTCTCTCCCCAGACTTTTTAGTTGATCTTTCACTAATGTTAGCATATCCCTCCTGGCCAATGCAGCTGGCATGGGCAAGAGCAGAGAAAATGCACTGCAGCTCAGGCTTCAATGTATGACAGCAGCCAAACTAAAGATGACCCACAGATTTTGGGTTCCCATAGCTCTCTGAAAACCATG